TACAAATATCGCGTGCATCAAATCGATTTTACTAAAACGTTAACCCTCGGTATTATATATATATATATATATTATATATATATATATAATCTCTGATCTATCGCGATACGATCGAATATCGTCAATAATTAATTACTCCTTGGCAACTTGGATTCACTTGGATGATTGATATAATTGCAAAAATCTATCTTTCCTCAAAACCTTTTCTAAATCTTGATCTAAATTTATTTCGAATCAATCTTCTCTCTCTGCAAGTATACCTTCTAAAGTGAAATATCTTTGTGGCGAAAAGATTAACTTGTAAGCTCGACACGTTGAACGAATAATAACTTGAGAAGAACTTGGCGAGGATTCGATCGAATTACCACGATTGATCGGTCGACGAATAGATACCGCGATCAAGTACGGTGCTCATCCTATTTCCTGTGTTCGCAGACCTCGCTATAGTTTGTGTCTGCACATGCGATACAGTGTGCAGCTCTATGCGCACATATATATACATATATATTTTCGCAGCAACACGTTATAAAAAGCGACGCTTTGTTCTTTTATCCAACGAGAACGCTTTGAAAGACGCAGTCGCAACGTTTTTTTTTTTCTCTCTCTGTCTTTATATACGCATTTCCTTTCGTGGCACTACATCTTTTCTCTCTCTTCCTTTATCTATCTCTCGCTCGCTCACGCTCTCCCTCTCTTTCTCTCACTCAACATTCTCAGTTCTTTTTTTTGTAAAAATTTTTGTCCATTCTTTTTTTTTTTTGCTCTATTTTTCTTTTTCGTCTCTTATTTAGTTTGTTCAATTGTTACACGTTGCACACTACTACGTTTGCTTTCTTGTTTCTATTACTATCGTCTTTTTGTTTCCTTTTTTTTTTTTTTTTTTACGTTTTCATTCTTTTTTTCTTTTTTTTTCTTAATCTCCTTTCTCGTCTCTTTAACCGCGATTTAAAAATTTAAAATACTCGTATTACACGTAAGTATTTGTATGACCCTGTTTTCGTAAAGGCTTTCTAAACATAAGTCGATATCGGCCGAGGAAGATAAAAAGGAAAGGCGTCGAACGTGAAGGAAGAGAAAGAATCATCAGTTTGAAGAATGGTGGTTAAGAATACGGATTTATCCGTATGTGAGTTGGGTGCGGATGTGATGTGCAAAGGAAACAGGAAAGGACACGTCTTTTTCGTGTGTTTGTAATATCTCTTTTCTTTTTCCTTAATGTGCTTTTTTTTTTTACTTTTCGATTTATACAGTGCTTCTCCTTCGTTTCTTCGATCTGTTCGAGAAGAGTCATAACGTAATATTATGCGGAATAATATCATATTCTATTTTAAAAATATCGACACAAATATTGAAATTTTCCACTGCGTTGCTTTGCTATGATCCATGATTCTGTTCCTTTTGAACGAGTTTTTAATTCGTTATATATTTTATTAAATTATCTGGCACATATTCAGTGCCGGATGTTTAACAGTAAAAAAGTATTATTGAAATTTTTTTAATGATTTATTAACTGTCCCAACGATATTTAACTATTATACTGTAGAAAAAATTCGCTATTTAATGATGTGTCTTAATTTTGTGTAATTTTTAGTTTTAATTATATAATTATAGTATAATAATTAGGATCATAGATAATTTCTAAATTATTACATTTTAAAAGTACGTCTAAGTTCGAAAAATAATTTTCATTGGCATTATCCAAGTGAAATTACAAAGCTTGAAATATACGTATTTCATTTTTGTATTCAAATATAAAAAGGCTAGTGTTACGTTATACGTATTGGGTGTATGATTGTTTCTCACAAAAATCTCGACTTCTTGATTCACAAAACAACATTTCAGAATTTCTATATCAGATATCTTTCACCATTACTGTGATAATTTTGTATTAAAAAACCTTTGCATAAACCTTCTTACTTTAAAATGTCTACATTTTACAAAATACTCGTGAGATCAATTCCTAACATCGTTACAATCATCTTATCTATATACGATAACACGAGATACTTTTTTTTTTTTTTTTTTCCCCTTAAAAAATTGATATGCAATGAGATACGATGAAGCAATTTCTAGAGAACAATTATTTATAATTATTAATCAGTACTTTTTTTTTTCTTTTTCTTTTTTTTTTTTTTTTTCCATTTCAGAAATTACATCCCCTCTTTTGATCATGGATCAACGAGCAACGCTGGAAATTCATCGATCGTTCTGTGCATTGAATGTGAATTCTGTGTGCAACTGTCGAAGAAGACGAGCATAAATAAGCATAATAAAGAAGGAAGACAAGGGGAGAAAAATCACATAAAACGGGAGGAAGTGTATCAACTTGCTTGGTTCGTGTAACGGAAGCGCATTACCCCGTTATCTCTATTAGACGAGACGATCTTTCGAATGGATCGATGCAACAAATCGATGCAAACAATCAAAGATCTGAACGGTAGAAGATCGTACCATCGATATATCTTTTTATATAATCCCTGTCCTTCAAGACCCATTTCTGGGATCTTTCTTAATTTACGTATGATTCGATAAAATTTATTTTTTTGATCGATTGCAACTGATGAAATGTTCTTTCGAAGGTTCTTACAAGATATTTATCTGTATAAAATTATGTATCTTTTTAATTTTATAATTATTTATACGAGGCTCGAAATATTAAAAGAAATATTCTCTTTTCTTCTCTTCTCTTTCAGTACATAATTTTTCATTTTATTTTATTTCAACAACAATGTAATATCCTAAGATTCTGTGATAAAATTATATAATAATATAAATTGCATAAGGAAGACTAGATATAAAGATAATTATATTGTTTGGCACAAATATTATTTATAATAACTTTCAATAATTGTATAAAATTAAAATTAAATTAATTCTTTTCATATTGAAAACAATATAAAAAAATCCGTTAATCGATTGAATTAAAAAAATATCATGTAAAATGTAACAGGATTCTCTACCAACAAAGCATTTAAGAATTTATTATTTAGAGAAGAATATAATCGCATTTAGAGAAAAATCTATAAAATATTCTTCCAAAGGGACATTTTATAAGTCGCAATCCAACCAAATCTCTTCCCTCGCTCGATGCCGATTTTTCCTGCCTTTTTCCCTACTTCAAAGCCACTACTTACGTACAAATTCTACCCCATTTTTTGCACAAAAATCTATCACTCTCTTTCCGCATAAAACATTAGAAAAGAAGGAAAACTTATCTACCGTACAAATGTATCTACAAATAAGATCCATACGTGGATCCGAGAATAATTCTTACCTCCTCATTTAAAATGTTTTATCAAGCATTTATAATATACGAAAAACGAAAGATGTTCTTGCTTGAAAGAAGAGAAATCGAATAGAACTTTCTAACTTTATTTGAAAATTAAAGAATAATTAGATTTATAAATTTAAAATATTTCAATACGTATATTGGAAAAAAAAAAAAAAAAAGAAATTAGAAAAAATGCCAGAGAGAAGAATTTTAATTAAGGAAGGCAGAATTATTCTAAGCGCGTACGAAGAAGCACGGAGAACGAAGAACACGATTGGTTCTCTCTTTATAAATACGCGAACAAAAGGGAACACGAAAAATCGGCAGGCAAAGAGTTCGCTATTCGAGAACAGCTGCAGCGGTACGACAATTGTATATACGTATATGTGTAATGTCTCTATATATGTGTGTGTATATATATATGCATGTATATACGTACGTATGTGTCTGTGTAACGACGATTTGGCACACGTAATTAATCAGTCCGCGATTTTCTTCTTCTTCTTTTTTTTTTTTTCTATATATAAGCTTGGCACACGGTTTCACCCGTTCGCCAGATGATTTTCATGATCTCAATATATATTTTCTTTCTCTCTCTCTCTTTCTTCTTCTCTTGCATTTATCTTGTTTCATTCGATTTTACTTTTTGGCACACGTAAAATGGAAAACAATTACACATATGTCTCGCGCGCATCCATGCATCTCTGCGATTCAATTAATTTCGGGTGTGCTATTCTTTCTTTTCATATTTTTTTTATAGGATGAGGGGGCCTATCTTCGAAATTTCGAAGCTCTTCGAAACTACACAGGAATTGTATTTGAAATTTTTTTGCTATTTTTATAACTTGAAACTCTTAAAAATTAATATAAATAATTATATTTAAACATTGAAATTTTGAACTTACTTTAATTGTTATATTTCATTTCATCAATTCATTGCAATAGTTTACGTAGAGGAAGAATAAAATAATTTAATTCTTTAATGAATAAATTAATTAAGATTTTTTTTCACAAAATCTTCATAAAAAAAAAAATATGCATTTCGAACTCGAATTTCACGGATTTAAAAATCAACCTTCGTTTCTAATTTTTATTCTTCGCGTACTCTCTCGAGGTCTTCCCGATCCCTCGCTTTCTTTCGTTACATTATAATCCGTTTCTCTCT